CTGGATGAATCTTCCAGCACAGAACTCTGCACTGTGTTCCAGCAAAATTCCTGGGAAGCTACTTGAATTTCAAATTTTGTTGAGATTTATACTTGTGGAACCAAGGCACAAAATGCCAGGAAGGGCCCTGAATCCTCTACACTGTCCTGGTACCCTCCTGGCCCATGGACATCTTCCGGGGATAGACTGCACTTGAGTTAGGATTTAATTGAGTCAAATATTAGAGACTTTTCATATCCACTGATTTCTAAAACATGGGCATTTCAACTCTCTGTGACTATAGTTGGCCCAGTAATTGTGTTAAAACAACTTTAAAAAAAAAATCCACAACACAGTCCTGTGGAACATTCCAAGTACTGCTTATATTTGGGTTATGAGTTTTTATTTTTACCTTGGAGCTTTGGTCACAATGGCTGGGAGAACATCGGGATTCCATAGCTGGGATTTTAAGATCATTAACTCTTAAATTGGTCGGCATGATAAATGAGGTGTTTGGCCATTGTAGGGAGGAGAGAGGCTGGGCATCCACTCTGCTATTTCCCCAACCAACACCCTACTTCTGGCTGTGACCAGGAGACCACTGAGGTTCTCGGGGTTGAGAGGAAGTCAAGGGTCTGGACATGGACACACCACTCTGGGTCAATTATCCTGGGAGTAGCTACTAGGGCAGATTGCAAACCAGAAAATCAGTTTACAAGGCAGAGTGCAGGAAAGCATGTGTGTTTGAACAGGAAGTCCAAACTGAGTCAAAGGCCCAGCACGCCTATTCCTGCAGGAGAAGAGGAGGAGTCTAGTTGAGATGCCAGTGGGTAGGTGCCAGAGGCCCAGTGGATGAGGTCTTTAGAGTTCAGGGTTAGAAAGCCCCACTCTAGCCACTGGGTGGAGGAGAGGACTGTGGCACCAGGCAGGCAGGCCTCTTGCTCCCAGGGATTTGGATAAAAGAGATATAAGCAGCACCCCCATTGGGGCTCTTTCCTTTTCCACGGGGTGACTGGATCTTTTCCATGGGGTAGGATAGAGCATGCATGTGTGGGTTAAGAAGGCTCAGTAATGAGGACTAGAAGAATTCCAAGGTGCAGATCTAGATAATCCTATATTCTACCCCTTTAGCATCGGAGGCCCCCTGGGATCTCATAGTAACCCAGAGAAGACAAAACCAGTTTTGTTCCCAAAATCTTCGGAGATTATGTTTACCCTTGGTGCTTGAGGGAACAGGCTATGTGCATCTCAAGTGTATCCCAAAGGGGGTATATTTTGTTCGAGGCTTACATTCTTGTGTAAAGAGTGATCGTGTAGAAATAGGAAACAACAAACCCCACCAGAAACAGGGCAATTGGATCGGAGTTAGAATGTGAGAAACAAGCCGGTCCATACCTCCTCAGCTCCAGTGTTATTTTGGAGGCCTCATTTTTTTTCTTCTTGAAAAACCACGGCACCTGCCCATTAACAAGAAGGTTTTCCAGGTAGATCCAAACTATTTTCAACACCTCCAGGATATTTCTTGAATCTTTCCCTATATCTAGCATCAGCAAATCAGATGAATGCCAAAATTGTATACATTTTACATGTTATTCAGAAGAATAGTGAAAAAGGAATGTGTTAAGATGAAAGAAAGTGAATTATTATTGGATGATCCTGTTTAATAAATAAAGGAATGCAAATTGATTTGTGGCTGCGAAATAGAGCTAGTCCTCGAGAACAAAGTAGTCAACCAAGAGAAGATTTACTCCAAATCCCTGCTCCTTCAGCAGAGAGCCAAGAATGGCCCCTAATTCTAGTTCAAGTCCCTATTTCACGAACACTTTGCCTCCCCTCCCAGGATAATCCCCTCACTATGGGATTTGTCTACTGATAAAGAAATCGAACTCAGGATGGGAGAGGTGTGGGGATTCTTCCTGAATTATCAGCCATCTAGCAGTTCCCTTCAGTCACCAGACTTTCAGATAGTACTTGTCCTGGTCATATGGACCAAAGCACAGCACTGCATTCAGAAGTGGGCACAAATGACCAGGGTCCAAGGAAATCTCTTGAGTCCACTGGACCAGTCGTTGAGATTTAAAGCATATAACTGAATTCTATCCAGGATGATGGCTGGGATTCTAATGAATGAGGATTTCCAAAGCATTAAAAGCCCATGGGTAGGATATGCTTTTCTGGTAAGCTCTTGGGAGACTTCCAGCTGCCATTAAGCTCAGAGATCTATCATTGATGATTGCATTGGTCCATTCGCCAAGGAGTTGTGCTCTAGAATCATTGACCCAGCTGGGAAAGCTCCTCAGGTTCACATAAGGTCACAGGAATTGGCTGGAGCCATCTGAGCCCAAACCCAGAGTATTTAACCAAACAAGCGAGGAAGAGGTGATGTCAGCTGGCAAATGATCAGGAGCTTCCGTGAGCAACAGAGACTTCTCTTCATGCTATTCTTTCCTCCATTCAACAGGCAGACACTGGAGAGGAAAATATACTTAAGACCCTCACAAGGGGAGCTTGACAAAAAAAGTGATTGCAACCTAATATCAGAGGATAACGACTAACAGACACACAGGATGCCCTGAGAGCATGGAGCAGGGGCAATGAGCCCCATCTTTGCTGTCCAAGGCGGTAGGCAGAGACTGAGTTGCATCTTGAAGAATTAGTAGGAGTTTGCCAGGTGGACACTGAGTGTCCCAAGCAGATGGAATATGTATAAAAGCTGAGAGTCTGGAATGGAAAAGATTTATTGGAAAGGCTTAGTTTTGACAGGAAGGACCCCTATCTCTCTCCTTACTCTGGTCCTTTTCCCCGTCTCCCAACTCCTCACCCGCCACGCTGTGTGCTCTGTGCTGATGCCACATGAAACTGCTTGCTTTTCCCCAAGCAAATGTTTAAATACAGGGGTGGGCAAAAGTAGGCTTACAGTTGTAATACAAAAATTGATCAATAACAATACAAGAATAAACTCTGTGTTCCGCGTTCTCACAACTGTGAACCTATAGGGGATTGCTTGACTAGATCCTTTGTCTATTTTTCTGTTGTTTGCCTCTTAAATGTTTATTTGTACTATTTATGTACATATCCTGGACACTAATCTTTTGCTTTTTGTATTTGCTGCAGACAAATCTTCTCTTACTCTTTTCTCGCCTTTGCACTTGTTTATGGTACATTTTGTTAATTCGGCGTTTTAGATACTTCAGGTAGTCGAAATACCCTTTCTGAAAAAACAATTTCTACTTTCTGTGTCTGGCTGAAGAAACCCTTCACTAACCTGATGACATAAACATCTTCTATAATTCACCCAGAGGATTTCAAGTTTTGTCATTCCCATTAGGCTTTAATACATCTAGGGTTACATTTAGTATGCGATTGTGATCTAATTAGTTTTTCCCGATTAGAAATCCATTGTCACAGCATCACCACTTCCACTGTATAGCAAGACCTCGTGTAGGCTGAGGTCTAGGTTGTCTGCTCTACCCCACGGGCTCTGCTGTTATGTCCTGTATCATGCATGTGGGACCATTATATATGAGAGGGCAAACTTTCCAACTTTGCTCTTCGTTTTCATAATTGCCTTGATGACTTTGAACCTTTAATCTTCACTTCATTTTTAAAGTCAGTGTTTGAGTTTTATAACACATTCCATCAGAATTTTTCCTTTAATTGATGTTATAGATTAACGTGGGTAAAGTGTGCTATCTTTATGATATGGAGTCTTTCACTGTAGGATCATAACATACTATATCATTTGTGTTCAAATCAGACAGATGTATCTGTCTAGACACGGGGCAGAGGAAAATAAACCCTCCTCGTAGAGCTAGAATATGCTCAATGAGAATTCTTAGGGCTGTTGTACCACAAAAATGAAGGCACAAAATCTACTTTGCACAGATTCGTCTTAAATATCTATAAAATAGTCTGAAATAAAGAAAAATAGCCACAACGGACTCTCTAGACGTTAAAATTAAGGTAAATGAGTGCATAGAAAATAAGATTAATCTGAAACCAGGGGAAAATGTTTGCAGTAGAAAATGTCAGACAAAAAGAAACAAGCTCTAACCTCAGCAATTATTAGAATGACAGGCAGAAATGCAGAGCTCAGCTGAAACAGATCCTGAAGTGAAAGAAAAGAGACATAATAGCTGCAGAAGAGGGTGGGTTAGAATAGAAAAACCTACTAGGAAGTCACTGCAACAGATTGAGTACAGCACTGTGGGAATACTTATAAGCTAAATTGAAGCTGTACTAAATAGGATCAGTGAAACAGAAGTCAACTTTGGGAAATAAAGAAGCCCCTTCCAAATCTAAAATACTATAATTCCATATGCCCAGAGAATATTTTCCTCCTTTTCCAAAGAGGGGTTTCCTTTTTAATAAATAAACGTCTGTGTAGGTTTTCTTTTATTTATTAAAACGACTAGTTACATTAGATTTCCTTGCATGTTGAACTATCCATACATTTCTGAAATAAACTTTGCCAATTAATTATTTTTTTTTTGGATTCCTGTTGGATTCATTTTGCTAATATTTTCTTTAGAAATTTTGCCTCTATATTTATGAATGAAATTGGACTGTTTTTTAAGGAGGAGATTTGTTTTTGGGTATCTAGTTTGTGACTCATTTCATTTCAATGAATTGGAGATGTTTTTCTTCCCTTACGAAAGGAATAATTTCAATAGCGCGTGCGCATACACACATGCACAAAACAGTTCCTTAAAGATTTGAAACTAACCTGTAAGTCTGGTGGAGCCTGGGGTTTTGTTTGTATGCCTGTTTGTTTTTAGTGTGTGTGGTGTGGGAGTGGGAAAGGTGGGCAGGGCAGGGACGGGAGTCCTTCAACAAAAGTTTTAAGAACTAACATGAACTCTGAACACCACTTCAAATAATTTCCACAGTTGTAGAAGTTTCAGATAATGAGCCCAGTTAATGGAGAGGTCAAATATCAATTAGTAGAATCTGAAGAGCAATGATAAAAGGTAAAGACAAATGAACACCTGCTAAAGTAACGTCTGCTTTTGTTCTCCCAGATCAGGAAGTGTGCTGCACCACTGGAATGAGATCTATTACTTCGTGGAACAGTTGGCTCACAAGTTCATCAGGTGAGAAACACATGCCTACTTCTCTGCCATGGACAAAACCAGCCTCTATTTGCTGTTCTACAAATTACTACCTACTTCGGGGATGCTTTTTTGACAAAGGTAGACTCTCAGATCGTGGATGAGACTTCGTTCTCATCTTTGCCACATATTAGAATGACTATTGGCTTCGTGTTTGCAAAAGGACCTCAGTTGGGTTCAAGACCAAAATTTAATTTGTCCTTCCCTGGTTGAAGACTATATTCTTCTGGAAGGATAATTAGCATGTTCTTTCACAGTGTATCAAGCTGGAGCAGTTGGCTCATTCTAGGGGGACTGTGTAGGGGGTACGGGGTCTATGGAAAGTGACAAATTCATCCCAATTTGCCCAGAACTTTTCTGGTTTTAGCACTGAAAGTCTCACATCCTGGGAACTCCCCTCAGTTCTGGGCAAACTACCTATGTGCCCAATCAGGTAGGATTCTCTGAACTTTCTCTGCACCACTTTCCAAGAAGACAGTGCAGTTTTGAATGTTGTCACTATAAACTTTGCAGGGACCTTGAAAGTCCTACTTTCCAATAATTATAAACACCACTAGTGAAGGAAAGAAGGTCATTTCACCCTCCTTGGGTGCAGCCTCTGGGTGATAAACAACTGTGATACAGAGCTTTCCTGGAGTTGCTTGAAGCTAGCTCTCAAGGTCTTTGGTAAAACTGTTTCCAACTGTAAATTCTAAAGCAGCCCCTCTCTCGCTGATGGCCTCTATAGCCTTCCAGCCAACACGAGTACCCATCTACTTTTTTTGAATCAAGTTCTTTGACTCCGAAGACAGGTTCTCTTCTGAGACCAGAGTAATTGCAAACATGTACCTTCCAAAGTTAATTACTCCTCTCAGCACGTATCTGCCTGCCTGACCGAAGGGAAGTGTCCTCTCTGGGATTCCAAAAATTGGAAGCTGCAGCAGGAAGCATCTAAACCCAGATGAATGAGAAAAACAGATGCTGAGAGGAGAGAGGGGGCTGGGGGACAGTAGAAAGGAAAGACACAGATACATAAGTGGTATTAAAAGCATAATATTTAAGAGAATCACAGAAGCTGAGAATTGAAAGGAACAAGCTACCAACCTATCTATCCTAAGAGACATTCACTCTCCGCTTGAACAGCTCTGGTGAGAAACTGCAGCCTGTTGAGGCAAACAGACCAACAGTTGGTCAATTCCAGTTCCCAGAAAAGTCTTTTTGTCACTGAGCCAAAATATCCTCTCTTGCACTTTTATCCATTGATCCTTTGGAGTGATAGAAAACAAGTCTGCCTCCAGACACTTGACGGTATCTACTATGTCTCTGCCCTTCTAGCCTTCTGTTCCCCCTGAAACAGAGGAGTCTGCTGGGAAAAGCTTTGAAGTTAGGCAGATGAGGATTTGAATCTTAGCTTTATTGTACAGCCTTAATAATTAACTTACCTTGGCTGAACCCTAGTTTTCATGTAAAAATCACAGCGAAAACATGTACAAACCAACAAGACCAGTACCTGATTTAGAGTGGCACTTGACATTCCTCTTTGCCAGTTCCTTCTGCGAGTCCAGACACTTCAATGTCTTAGATTCAAAGAAAGTTAGAGGAAGGAGTTAGGGGAGCTATGAGACCACTTAGTCCAATCCTCTCGTTTTATAGATGAAGAAATGGAGGACCAGCATAGTTGACATGGCTTAACCCAGACCACGAGGCACTGACCTCTGGTTATCTCCCCTGGTCCTCCCTGGTTATGGACCCCCTCAAAGTGTGACACCAAGACATTACTGTCATGCGAACTCCAAGCAGGAGGGACTGTATTTTATTGACCGCTGCAGCCCAAGTGCCCGTAGCAGTGCCTGACACATAGTACGTGATCAGTCAATAATTTTGAATAAGTGAATACATTTTGAAAAAGGATGGCTGGTTTCTATTTATTCATTTTGATAAATAGTGTCTAGGGAGCTGATATTGCAGAGGAGAAGTTCCTTCAGTAACAGTGGCTGATATCAGTACAAATACATCATTTCTAATTTCAGTGAGGTCTTAAAACTGACCAATCCTGTTATTTGTCTGTGTTCTGACGCCCTCCCATTTTCCTAAAGTGCGTCTAACGCATCACCATTTTTTTAAAGACTTCAAGCTACACCTCACACCCATCACTCTCAGCAAGGAACCTCACCTTCTATTTCATCAAGAACCTAGAGAATAGCAGACGAGTGATTATCTCAAGTTCCACGTGTTATCACCCCATGCATGCATGTCCTTCCCACCGTCTCTGAGATTCAAGTACCCTCCTGTTTCAGGCCGATCCCTGTATTTTATTTTGTTTATCCTGTTGTTTCCAATCTCCTCCAGGTCATTATTTCCTTTTTGTGTTTTCTTTACCTTTCTCCTCGCTCCATTTTTACGGCTGATAGACATAAACTAATCTCTTCCGTCCCTCATCTGAAAAAGAGAAACAACAAATCTTTTGATCATGTCTTCCTGTTAATACTAGCCTATTTCTTTACTGGTTTCTCCCTCAACTATCCTTAAAGACTCCTTGTCTCTATATCCTTATTCCCAATTCATCCCTTAACGCACTGCCTTCTGGCTGTTATTCCCACCCTCCAGCTGCTTGTTCTTGCCCGTGTCACCAAGTGGCGCCCTAGAGGACAGAGCCCGTGAGCGCCTGGCCGTGCTTCTGCTGGACAGAGAGGCCTCATTTGATTCGGGTTTATCTTGCCTTGTGATTCTCTCCTGCTCTGGCTCTGGTTCTCCTTTCATCTCACGGACCAGAGACAGGCCTTTAAATGCTGATGCTGGTTTTAAACTTGGCTCCCGTCCCTTCTCACTGCTGACACTGTCTTTGAGCAGTTTTACTCCCATCAGTATGCTGGGAACTCCCAAATTATGTCTCCAGCCAGACTCATACCAACGGCCTCTTGGAGACCTGCATTTCCCACCTTTAAGATTTATTCTTTCCAAGAGCTGAACTCTATATAAGGGAGGCAGTACACTATCGTGTTAGGAGCCCAAGTTCTAGACTCCGAATGCTTGGTTTTAAACCCCAGATCCACCACTCTCTCTTCTTCATCTTTCAGCATCCCAATTTTCCTTTGTGGAAAATAGGAATAATAATAGTACTGATCTTATAAAGTTTTAAGTTTAATGAACGAATCCAGGCAAATCACTTACAGTAGAGCCTGGCACATAGTAAGACATTGATAAGTTTGCCATAATTAGTATGATAATTATTACTGTTATTTAGGACACAGTGTCCTGCTGGGCCAGCACCAGTGAGGCAGTAAAGTTAGTGTGGTATCCTGCACAGACAACCCAAGTCTGTTTCAAGAAACCAATATTCAATACACTAGGTATTGCTTGGACTCCTGCCAAGCACTAAATACCATCCTAAGGGTTTCCAAACATATTACAAACACATGGTAGGTAATGAATGTAGACTTTATCCGGGAAGCAGTAGGAGCCATTAGAGGTTTTATTGCAAATGATTGACAAGATCTGATTTATATTTTAGGAAAATAGTTCTGGAAACAGTGGAACAGGGAATGATGATAGGCAAGGTCAGCCCTAGGCAATAACTGCAGTGGTCCAATCATTGAGGGCAAGTTCCTAAGCTAAGAGATGAGAAAAAGAGAGGGGCAGGTTTGAGAAACATTTAGGAAGTGAGAACTCTAAGAGTTGGGGCCAGATTGGGTTTAGGAGGTTATTGCATCATGAAGAAATAGGTTGGTGCGCTAATGGATGAACCAATTGGCCCCCCAGAGAGAGCCCTGCAGGATGGCGTTCCATTGGTGAACCCGCTGCAGTCTGACAGTCCATCCTGCAGACAGAAACACATTTGGTCCTTAGCTGAGAGTTGTCCTGACTCCCAGAACATGTAAAATTGGTCAAATTTAAATTGACAAAGCTCCTAAGTACTGCTGTATAAAAACCAGGCCAATGTAGTCATTAATAAGGAGAAGTATAACTACCAAGTGGAATATATATTTTGTGGCCCATCAGCACATTACCTCCTGATAGGATAACCTCCTTAGGAAGCCAAGTAGAAATTAAAAGCTGATGGTGATCCTACTTTCAGAGCAGAGGGAGTTCATGTGTGATCTTAATGGCCCAAGGGATCATGCTGCAACAGCCTGAGACATTCTCTTCTTTATAGGATACACTGCAGAGACACTATCAAATTTCGTCTGTCGGGATCCCCTTTTAGTAGACCATACAGACCAGTCCTTCAGACAGAGAGCAGGCAGTGCTGAATCTTAACTTTCTTCTTTATATTCCCCACTCACTGCATGGCGGTGTCAAATTAGAAGCAGCCTCCAAGCAGACAATGTGGGTCTTCTCTTTGGTCCAAAGTTTCAAGTCTGCTGCTGGCTAAATACTTACAGCACCAACGGTGGAAGCCCCTTGGGTTGTATGTAGGTCCTCAGTTTTGGCAGCCATGGTATAAAGGGAAGGGCAGGGAGAAGCCTGGAAGAGAATGGCATTCCAGTCTTTCTATCTGCCCTGATAGAATTTCTTTTCCTTTCCAGCCCACAGCTAAGAATGTCCTTTATTGTCTTCTCTACTCAAGGAACAACCCTAATGAAGCTAACAGAAGACAGGTAAGGATGCCTATCCCTGTCATAAAAATGCTCTTCTTTTCTTGAGTAGTTCTCATATTTCTGCCCTACTGCCAACCTTGACCTGTTGGTCATTTCAGTCTAATAGTTCTCTATTTCCACTTAAGGCTTGGACTTTGCACATTGACCCATCTGCTAGTTTATTCTGCAATGACTTTGATAGAATTTCCTGATGTTGGTGAAACTTTATAAATGACTAAATCACATTAAGGTCAATCTTACATTTGATTGGTGACTCGGTCTGCTAACTTGAAGCAAAATGTTAGCAAACTCAATTCTTGAGAGACTATATTTTCTTTTATTTAAATTAAAATTATTTTGTGGGTTAAGGTTGCAGACATATTTTAAGCATGCTGTGAGAGAAATAAGAACTTGAAATATTGTCATTCAGAATTACTAAGGCAGGGGCTAGAAAGGGAGGGTTTATGATACCACAAAATAAAAGGAAATTTGAATCAGATGTGGAAAATGTTGACATAAAAGGATTAGTTAAATCTAGCTTAACAAAAATATTATTTTGTGTTTTACCACCTGCAGATGAAAACTAATGATAACAGAGACATTGTCATTTGTTCATAGTTAGGCTGGGATGTTGAGAGTGGAGATGACAGTTTTGAGTTAAATGACACTTTGTCTACTTTTTTAAAAGTGATATGGTCCCCATGAGAGAAGCACCATGGTGAGGAGAGGGACATATGTGGGACTTATGTATGGACATGTTGGAAAAGGGAAAGGAGGAAGGTTAACTTTAGGCAGAGCAGGAAAACTTTATAACATTCTTCTAAAACTAACAGGACAGAAGAAGGTGTTCTGGGTTTGGCACTGACACAGCAAATCAGAGTTAGTCCCCATTTTTCTCCATGTGTTTGTTCCCCTCTCTAACAGAAAGAGGACTCCATGTGATCTAAATGTTCTCAAGTCCTGTTGCTCTTTCAGCATTTCATGCATTCCATTTGAGACGCACAGAAATGCCACTTTAAAAAACAGGAGTTTTTGCCCTCTCTGGGTAACCTGGTTGGAGTGTGTCCCCTGCACCTAAAGGTTTTGGGTTTGATTCCCGATCAGGGCATACGCCTAGGTTGCAGGTTGGATCCCTGGTCCAAGCACATATGGGAGGCCACCAACCAATGTTTCTCTCTCACAATGATGTTTCCCTCTCTCTCTTACTCCCCTTCCCCTCTCTCTAAAATCAATAAAAACATATCCTCAGGTGAGGATTTAAAACAAAACAAAACAAAAAACAGAAGTTTCTTCTTCCTTATTAACAGAAGGAGAAACTGAAGCCATATCTTGTCCCTGAGAATACCAAGCAGAACCCACACTGGTCACAGGCCCCACATTTTCCCACTCAATTTTGCTGCCTTGTGTTGATAAGCAGAAAATCTAAAGCCCAAGAAACCTGTGTGACCTTTTTTTTTAATATTGACCAAGGATTTTAAGAATCTCCGAGAAAGTGTCTCTCCTGTAGGCTCTATTCAACACTCCTAATCTTTCTCAGTCTTTGAATGATGACATCCTTTATGCAGAGATGTCTTTTATTCAAAGAAAACTTCCCTCTCACCCACTTTCACATTTTCATAAAGCCCAAGGCTGCCTAGCGCTGCTTCATGATAACTCCACCCACTCCATGCCTAAGACTTCGGTCAAGAGACCAAGTTCACACATCACATCCCTTGTGAATATTTTGCGTGCTACTGCTCACAGCCTCTGGGGAGTTGGGGAGGGCAGAGGGAGGGTCACAGATTTATAAACACTAATAGAACACCTAAGTTTTTCAGACCTATTTTGGTTATGCTAGTTCAAATTACTCATCTGAATCCTTTCAATCTAATTTTTTGTAACTTAATTTCACTACCTACCCCTAGTTTTCTGTGCCAAGGAGAAGACAGTGGTTAGAATCTCCGATTTGCTGGAAGCAGCATTTAATATTTAAGGGCTGGTGATGTAACAAACAACAGCCAGAAATGCTTTCCTAAAGGCTATAAGGGTTTTAGCCTAACCTATGGGTCAACTTACAACGTGGTTAACTGACACATCCCCAACCTTATCAGCCTATATGAAAATGTAAACAAGCCATCTCTCTCTAACATACTTTCTCATGAGATTGGCTAAAAGAATTAGGCTTTCAGAACTTCCAAGCTGGTACTGGAATATATGACTTTCAGTGTTGTAGTTGGACATGGGAATTTGTATTTTTTTCCCTATATCTCATTTGATCTTCACAGTATCCTTATAAGACAGTAAAAGATGCATTATTATATGTAATAATTGAGAAAACATACAGTTTTAAAAACTTGTTTAAGAACAAAATGTGAATTATGTGAGAGCAAAGGATTTGGAGTAAATCAAAAGAAATAATATCAAAGGTATATTTGTATTCAGTTTTTGAGGTCAAAACACATAGAGGAAACCATGGGAAGATTTAAGAAATAGAATGGAAAATAAATAAGATGTGCTGAAATGTAGATTTACTATTAGAATAATAACTATCATTTGTGTCTATTATCTGCTAAGCACTTTACATATTATTTCTTATTTATCTCTATATAACCATTATTACTTCCATTTGTAATGTGGTTTCTGTGGTCATTTGATTCATTGTTTTATATGTAATATGCTACTGCTTTCAAGATTTTTTTTTATCTTTAATTCTCAGCAGTTTGATTATGATGTGTCTGGGCATGGTTTTCTTTGAGTTTATCCTATTTTGGCTTTGCTGAGCTTCTTGAATCTATAAATTTATGTCTTTCACCTAATTTGGGGAATTTGCAGCATTTTTTTCTGCACTAGTCATTTTCTCTCCTTCTGGGACTTCAATGGCACAAATGTTAGACCTTTTGATATTATTCCACATGTTCCTGTTCAGTTGTTCTTCAATCTTCTTTCTGTTCTTTGGATTCCATCATTTCTATTGATCTGTCTTCATGTTCACTGACTCTCTCCTCTGTCATCTCCATCCTGCTATTGAGCTCATCTATTTATTTATTTTTTTTTACTGCAGATACTGTGTTCTTTAGTCCTATAATGTCTATTTGGTTCTTTTAAATTTATTTATTTTTTTATTTTTTGCTGAGAACTTTTATCTTTCTGTTTATTTCAAGTGTGTTTATCTTTACCTCATGCAACATAGTTATTATAACTGCTTTAAGTTCTTTGTTTGTTAATTCCAACAGCTCAGGATTCCCATCTTACTTGTCTTCTCCCTTAATAATTGGTCACATATTCTAGGTGCTTTGTATGTTGAATAATATTAAGTTATATCCTAGAAATTTATAATATTATGTTGTTTAGATTCTGCATCATATTCAAATCTCTGGAGAATGTTGATTTTTTTTCCCCTTTGTTTGCTTTAGTAAGAAATCACCCTGGCTAGGTTCAGACTACAAGTTCTATCACTTCTTCTGTGGGTGGTAGTCTTTAGTTTGGTTCCATTTTCAAAAAGCTTTGCTAAGCTGCATTGGGTCTTTTCTCCACATGTGTGGCTCAAGATAAACCTGGGATTTATATAGCCTCATACACAGAATTAGAGGGATCCCCTTCTACAGTTCTCTCCTCTCCAGGATTCTCCACCAGTATCTTACCAACTGAGGCTCCTATTTCCAAGTCCTCTAGCAAGAAAAATAAGGTTTCTCCTAGAGTTTTGGCCATCACATTGCTGCATGCAGTTCTCTACTCGGGCTATCCCTGGGGCAAAGCCAGAAGTAACAAAAGAGAAATGGAAATGGAAAGTTTTTCCACATTTTTTGAGCCACTGGGGTCTCCTTTCATCAGAGGCCAGAAATATGGGAGCTTTCTGGGCCCTTTAGGTGACATGACAGGCCACTACCACGTACTAAGATCCACACTCAGGTTAAAGACACAAGAGAAAAGAGAAAAACAAATTGGGGATTCATCTGTGAGTGGGTTGTTTCTCTTGGTTTTAACTGCCTTCTTCAATCCACCTGCTTTGTTTACTTTTCAGAGTCCTTGTGTGTTTGCCTTTTTATTTTATCCAGAGTTTTGTTATATCAGCAGGAGAAATAGCCAGTGGCAAGTTTTGCTCCATCTTACCTGCTGTTACTTTCACTTTATAGGTAATGACACTGAGATTTAGAGATTTAGAGAATTTAGAGAATTTGCTAAGGTCAAATAATAAAAATGGCAGAACTAGTATTCTGATTCTGGATTTCTTTGTGTGCTTTGCATTACATCATGTTGTTCTTCCAAGATTTCTTAGCTTCATCAGCTTACAAAGCAATTGACAAATTGTAACACATTTTTTTAGGCTTCTTCATTGATATAATAAAGAATAATGTTAATTTAAGTACTATTAGAATTAATTATTTTAGTGTTAATTACTGTATATAATTTCCTAAAAACTTCCTGTATGTCTTTTCCTGATATTAATTGAAATACTTCAAATATTTCATCCTTGGAAATGAAATCATGTCAAGGAAGCCCAACTCTTACTTTAAAAGAAATCAGGAATAGCCCTGGCCAGTTTTCTCAGTGGTTAGAACATTGGCCCACAGACCAGAGAGTCCCAGGTTTGGTTCCCACTAAGGGCACGTACATCAGTTGCAGTTTGTCCCTGGCCCTGGTTGGGGTCAAGTGGGTGGCAGCCAGTCGATGTGTCTCCCTCACATCAATGTTTCTCTCTCTCTCTTCCTCCCTGCCTACCTCTCGCTCTATCTGAAGATAAAAGCAGAAGAAAATGTCCTCTGTTGAAGATAAAAAAAAATCAGGAATAAATATTAAAATTAAATCAAATGCATTTTTGGCATCTATTGAAATGATCATATTTTTTTTTCTTTGACCTACAAATACAATGAAATGCATTAAAAAGATTTTTTTTAATATTGGATCATTCTTGCACTTATGGTTATACTTGGTTGTAATATGTGGTTATTTTAAGGTAGAGCTGAATTCTATTCCTGCATTTTATTCAGAAATTTAGCACCAGTATTCATAATTGTGATTAGGCTGTTATTGTCCTTTTTATG